TCTACACCCTCTCACTACAAAGCCTGTCTATTTGAAAAAGTTCACACTGGTGTGTGCGGGGCGAATGGGCGATTCGGCACATGCTGCACCCAGTCCCTGCTGTCATTTGGGCAGATACGAGGACGGTGGGGAGAAGGTCGGTGTCTCCGCGCCGGCCGGGGCTGGTGCACGGGGGCTGTGCAGTAGGTGCGTTTTGCAGGGGGAAGTATCCTTCCAACACCCGTGTCGCATCCCCCCACACTCTTCCTCCTCAGCCTTCCTGGGCCCCTGTCAATCCAAACGGGGGATTTTTGGAGAACACACACTCCCGGGCTGGGTTGGGTGTGCAGGTGGATGAGTAGGATGGGAGGATGAGTGGGATGGGGGCACTGTCCTGCCCAGGGCAGCAGCCCCTCCGAAGCGGCGCCCGTGGGGCTGCCACATGCCCATGGCTCTGCCTGCCCCAGCCCCAGTGCTGTGCTGTGCCCCTGGGACCCAGGCAAGGTCCTGATCCGTGATGCCACCCACCGGCGAGGGTACGGAAAGGGTGCTTAAGGGATGCAGGACCCGAAGCGCAAGACAGAGGGTCTCCAGCCACCCAGCTCGCAGAGGGCAGGGAAGGGGTGGTCAGCAGATGGGGCACCGGGACCGAGGCATAGTGCCATCCTGCACCCTCGGAGGCGGATGGCGAGGTGATGGGGAGCATCGCCTCGGCCGTGCCCATGGTGGTGAGGAAGAGGACGCAGGTTTGCCAGCTGTGGTGCCATGGTGGCAGGGGGACAGTGAGCACAAAAGCCCCCACACCATGGAGGGGCTGGACAGGGCTGGAAAGCCAGGCAGGAGGTCAGGAACTTATCGGCTGCTGTCAGGGGCTGAGTGGGGCCGGGGCAGCCATTCCCACTGGGAGCAATGATGTCAGGCGGCGGTCGTGGCCAGGAGGCAGGAAGCCCGACGCAGCCAGCGAGTCTGTCCTCCTCAGCCTTCCCCATGTGTTTTCGTGAACAATGCACCCCCTGGCAGGGACGCTGTGAGGCTGGCCATCCTGTGTCAAGGACACCGCGAGGCTGGCCGTCCCGCGCCGCTGGCAGCACCATGTGGCTGCCTTGCACCCGTGCTGGCACTCGGGCCGCTGCGCCATGTTGGGTGCTGCTCCCCATCCACGTGGGCTGCAGGACGATACAACGCCGGGTTGCACCTTTTGCATGGGGATTTGGCGTGTCTGCTGCATCGCTGCGAGATCTGGAGGGAGGAAAACCCTGGCGTGCATTGGCCACAGCCTGCACCGCTCCGGCACGGCTGTGCTCTCATGCCCCTGCCTGTGCAGGCGGGGCTGCCTCTGCACCTCCCTAGATGGCACATCTGGCCCTGGCAAGACACATGTGCTGGGCAGACAGGCTGGCGAGCCCCAGAGGAAGCCCTTGGAGAAAGGACAGCCGTGCCAGCTGCTGGCCTGGCCCTCTCCCACTCCCAGCTCAGCTGGGGCAGGGTAAATACCCGCCTCGAGCATCCAGCCGTGCCTGCCTGGGTGTCCAAATATTCCATCTGGAAGCAGCAACAGTGATTACTCAAATGTGCCGAGGGAAAGCTCCGGCAGACTGAGGCGCTCAGTGATGCTGAGAGATGCAGAAGAGCCTCTCCTGGCTGGGGGTTCGCTGGGGCAAGGAGAGCCACGAGCCCTGTCTCTACCCTCCCAGTCCGGGCAGCCGGGGCTTGGTTTTGCCTCCTGGCCCCATGAGCAGCCTTTGTGAACCCAGCGGGCATTTGGAGCAGGCAGGGTGACGGCAGCCAAGCGGGGGGCTGCTAACGGGGTGGCTGGAACAGGGCAAGATGCCTGGTCACGCATGCCCGGAGGGAGAGGGACTTCCTGAGCACATCCAGCTAAAGGATGGCCCCAAGGACTCCAGCTCAGCCTCTCCCTCCGCTCCCTCCACCCCACCCAGCACACCCTTGTTTTCGCAGAGGTGCCTCCGCGCTGAGGACGCAGCAGGCTGCGTTTGCCAGCGGCTGGCAGCGATGTCCGTGCTGGTGCCGACAGACCGGCTGGCATGTTTTCCCCCAGGGAGGCTTTAGCAGGAGGCTGTGCATTTCTGGGAATTGTGTCGGGCAGGGAAGGAGGTTATTGTTCGAGCTGCAAGTGTGCGGCGCGCTGATGAGATCAGGGCTCGGTGCTCAGTGGTGGGGCAGCTGAGCTGTCTGCAGCACTGCTGATGGGGCGATAAGCGGGAGAAGGCTCTTATCTGTGGTCCCATCGCTGGGGGGAGAGCTGGAGAGCAGAGGGCATGGCAAAGCCCCGGTGACCTGGCTCTGCGTTGCCTCGCTGCGCAGTTAGCACGGGGCAAGGGTGTGTCCGGGGGGTTTCAAAGGGAGTGATGAAGGCAGTGAGCACGCTGCCTTCGCCCTCCGGCACGCTGTGGTGCAGCCAACCGCCCTGCTGACTTCAGCCATGCAGACTCTTCCTCCCAGTCCTCCCAGTTCACCCAGCAGCCCCCTCAGGTAGATGAATCCAGACCCGGCCCTAGGAGCTCCGACAGCTTTTATATCATGGGCGTCCTCGCTGTGGGGGGAACCTGCCCCGCACGGCTCCCTGCAGCCGTGCCAAAGCACCTTTTGCTCCAGCCATGGATGGAGGAGGCCAAACACTGCCTGTTCGCCGCCTGGATTTCACCCTCTGCCTCGCTGGTGGGCAGCAGGAGGTGGGTGTCTGTGCAGCCACTGTGTGGGCACCGTCCTTGTGTCCCCGTGGTGGTGGTGATGGAGGGACGGCCGTGGCCCCCAGCCGACGGCCGAAACACCGAGGGCCTTGTGCTTTGGCAGGGCAGCTCAGGGGAGGGTATTTCTGATAAAAGGCCCCTCTGTGCTGCCCCAGCCCTCCTCGCTGAGCCTCTCCTTCCTCCCTCTCTGCCAGTCGATCCCCATCTCCTCAGACCCTCTGAGGTCTCGGTCCCAGCCCTGGCTGCCCTGCCATGTGCTTGCGCCTTGGCAGGCAGGACACAGGTCCTGTCGATCCCAAACTCTGTGGGAGACAATATCAGAGCTCTGTTTGTACAACTGCTGCGAGGAAGGGGCTGGGGGGTCAAAGCCCTTTGCAGTCCTTTGCTGTGGGTGAGCTGAGGGGTGCCACGTTAGCCCATGAGAAGCTAACCATCCCCCTCCTCCTCCTCGGGAGGATGCCTCTCTCCAGGCGCCGCAGCTTTTGACACAGAGCAAGTCACAAGAGCCCGAGGAGGACAGACCTGCTGCCATGGAGGGGCACCGCCACCCGGAGAGCTTCCCCACCGCCCTGGTCTGGAGATCGCGCTGGCGAGCAGGGACAGCATAGGAAATGCTACATGGGAAAGCCCTGTGTGAGAGCCCAGGAGCCCCTGCCTTCCCACAGAAGACTTATCAAGGCACCAGTTCAGAGTGGCGCTTTCCATGGGCCAAAAGGGAAGTGCATACACACCAGACTTCTCGGGGTCAAGGATGCTGGGCAAGCAGCGAGCCGAGAGGCTGCAGGGGGCAAGGGAGGGAACCGGGGCGTGGGGAGGGAGACACAAATAGCAAAATGAATGGCTTGAACTTCCTATGTTTTATGAAGGCGAATAAAAGGAGACAGAGAGGGGGAGAGAAAGGAGACCTGAGCGCTTGCACACGCTCTCACGCACACACAGGCCAGCCCAGACCCCAGAGCCCATTGGCGGCCGGTGTGGCACGGCAGCCTGCACCCACTTGGCTGGCACGGCTCTGGGCCAGCTGCTTGTCTGGCCCAGCGTCCCCCGAGAACACCTCGCGAAGCGTGATAGGCTGCTGCTTCGTGCTTATTCCTCCCCCATCATTATTATTTTGAACAGCAGCCAGTATAATTAAAATCGTTAGAAGGAGGAGATTTAGGGAACATCCAAAGTGTCTCGGAAGAGCATCTGCAAAGCTGGAGGTCCAAACTCCACCCCGGCGCTCGCAATGAGCAGGGCCCGGGGGAACCGTCATCTCCTCCACGTCCTCCCTTCCGTGCTCCCCATTTCGCAGGGTGGCAGAGGTTGGGCTACCACGCGGGGTGGTCCTGGCCACGTTCCCCTCCGCGGCTGCTGCCCACTGCAGCCAAATCCTGCAGCCCTTCCTGGTGCAGGACTTGTCTCAGGAGGTCCAGATGGCAGTGTCCCCAGGCACAGGCTGCTCACCAGCAGCTCTGGGACAGATGCAGTGGGAGGTTGTGGGGAGCAGAGGACATGCAGCCTCTGTGGGCTGCTCTGCCGGAGCAGCACGGATGGAGACTGCGGTATCTCCTGGGAGCCATGCTGGTTTCTGTTGTGTTAGGAGGGCCTGTGCCATGAGATGAGGTGTGGAGAGGTCCCTTGGCTCCTCAGAGGACAAAAAAGGACGGTCTGCAAGACAGAAATGCAAGTCACAATTTGGGCCAAATTTGCCAGGTTTCTTAAGTGTTTGGATGGAGCATTTTGACCTCCAGGGTCAAATGTCCCTGGTGCCAGGGCTAGGAGCCTAAGGACATCAGACAATGGCAGCAAAAAGGGGGACAACAGGCAGATCCTCGCCTCTATTCTGGGGCTGGCACAAGCTCATGTCTAGGGGATCGGCTCCGCTGTCTCTCTTTTCCTTCTCTCCCAGATTTGAGGTGCCCTGGGCTCAGGGAGGAACAGCAAAGTAACCATCCTCAGGGAGGTCAGTGCTGGGAATGGCTTGACCATCGGTGCAGGAGGGTGGCTGACTGCGGGCATCCTCGCCAGCGATGCGTGCAAGGCAGCAGGAGCCCCGCTGCGGTGGCTGCCATGCCAGGGGGAGACAGCCGAGAGCCGAAAGTGACCCACCCAGCAGAGCCAGGAGCCCTCCGCTGCCGCCAAGGCAGGCTCACGAGGGTGAAAAGGAGGAGAGACGCGTCAAAACCCCTCCCCAAAATCAGTGCTGCTCTGGCAAAGCCTACGGCAGCTGCTCCCATCTCCTGGCTGGCGTTCGTGGTGCTGGGCAAGAGCTCCGGGTCTAGCAGCTACTTATTATACGTTGTTCCCTGGATGGGGGTGCCTCGCTACCGGCTCAGAGCCCAGCATGTCGCCCAGGGACAGCCAACCTTCCTGTCCCTACGAGCCGTGACCCCAAGGCTGAGATCCTGGAGACCTGGGCACACCTGAAGTTATGGGTTGTCTCAGGACAGAGCTTCCCTGGGGGTTTCATGGTGGGTAGGTGGGCAAGGCTGGGCCCAGGAGGGCCTCTCGTCTCCGTCTTCTCCAAAAGTGGACCAGATTGAGCCTCCGGTGGCTGGGAGCAAGAGAAAGGGTGGGGTTTGGTGGCTGATCTCCAAACGAATGACGGTGACTTGAATCTGCTGGGGATACTGGAAGCAAGGAAAGCTCATCTGACTTGATCCAGCCCATCCAAATCATCTGAGAGTCACTTGGGAAACACTGTAGCCCAGTGGGAAAACCAGGTGAGATTTTGTGGGGTTTTATTTTGCAACAAACTTCTCCTGGCTCCACCAGCTCTGCCCGCCGAGGGGAGCTGCCAGCAAGGCACCATGTACAGAGACATCCCTGTTGCCTCTCTTCTCAGTGTGCAGGGGTCAGCTAAAGCCCCCTCCCAACCTCTCCCCCAAGCCCAGCTCCAGCAACACGCTCGCCCCTGCTCTGTTTTTAGCACATTCAAGTAGCTGCTTTCACAAGAGGTAAAAGAAAGTTCATGGATCCGTTGACAGATGAGCCCAAGCGGGAATTTCTCTGGGAATTCCTGCAATAGCAGGTTGGCTCCCGCGGAGGTGGAGTTTCCTCTGGATCTACCTCCACCCAGGCTTGGGAAGCGCTCCAGCCGCTACCGGCTCCACGCTCGGGGGGCTGGGCTGAGCCACACCACCACCGCTTCCCAGCCAAGGTCAGCCAGAAACCCTCCCCGCTCTGCAAACGCCTGTCCTGTTAACCCTTGGGAAGAGCGGAGCAGCAGGCTGGCAGGGTTAGGCTGCAGAGCTGGCCTGTGCCCGCGGGCACGCAGGGGCAGGGGGCATTTTCCTCTCCTGCCCAGCAGGCAGCGGATGGGGCTGCAGGCGTGAGGATTTCATGCCGTTATGTTCCTCCGGGGCTCGCTGCCAACCAGGCAGTCGTGGGGCCTGGGCGAGAACGGTCTGCCGCGGCAGGAGGCCGGCGTTGGCGGGGTGACGGGTTTCTCGCTCGGAGGCAGGGAGCGACGGGGTGACGGCGCTCGGCATCGGTGACTGTGCGCTCTGGAATCTGAGACACGTCCCCGGCCATACTTGTGGTCAGGAACCATCTTTGCGTTGCAGTGATACAAACCACATTCACAGTGGCAGCAGTGCCGCTCAAGCGCGCCTCTGACGCCAAGGACCGGCGTGACCCGACCCCACACACGGGACAGGCAGCTGCCTGCTTCCAAGGACCTCCAGAAGGTCCCCTTGTTGGGACTTGCTTCCTCCTCCCTCGCAGAGGTGGGCCTCTCCAAAATGGCACCCCCTCACTTCACGGCCAGACCCTGCCAAGGTATGGAGGCTTTCCAGATGCTGCAGAGGCTCCAGACGGCGGGTTGGAGGGAACACGCGTTCACAAACATGGGGCCAAGCCAAGAAATTTCAAGGTAGCTCCAAGTGTCATGCGAGGGAGAGGGTCTGGAGCTCAGGTTTGGTCTGGGGCCACCTCTGCTGGTTTGGGGATGAACTGAAACGTGTCTTGCGCATCTGGGGAGCAGCTCTTCCTCGAGGGGATCCCAGAGGTCTGTCCAGCTTCGTGCAAGCTGCCATAAAGAATAGCAAGCTGGCAGTTTTAGGTGCCTAACAGGCAGTTTGGGGGACAGCCACCCAGGAGAGGTTTGGCACCGATCTGTTCAATACCCCCCCACCTTTGTGTGCTGGTAAAGCTTAACTCTGCCCCCAGTGACTCGGTTGCCACAGGACAGAGCGGGGTTGGAGCTGAGCTCAGGGAGCCCTGGTTCCCAACACCTAATTCTGCAGCCTAAGGCCACCCATAGCACATTCCCATGCTTCTGATTGATCCGTGGCCCCGCTGGGGCAGGACATGGCCACTCTTTACCAGCACGGTCAGGGCCCTCTCCGAAACATCCGTGCTTGGCGAGGGCTGCGAAGCTGGCTGTGCAGGAGGCATCGACGTTTTCCCCCTGCCAGGAACCAGCTGGAGAGAGCAACAATATTCAGCAGCGAGTCCCAGGAGCAGACATTGCACAGCTCCCGGGGGACGAACCGCCCTCGCACAGTGTACGAGTGCCACCTACAGGGGGGCTCCACGCTCCGGCCTGGGCACCCCCAAACCATCCGTCCCCTCTCCACCCTTCTGTTAATTAGTGTCATGTCCCTAAGGCCGCGCTGGACCGGCTGCGTGGCTCCACGTTTCGGTTTAGCCTGGCAGCAGGGCTAACTGCGGCGCTGAGGGCGACCTGCTGCGGGATTGCAGGGCCGATATTCCTGCGCTGCTCGATCGCTGCTGAAGCTGCTTCTCCGGCCCCGAGAACCACAGGGCTGCTGACTCCAGCCGTCTTTCAGGCGGTGCTGCTGCCTGGGCTGCAGCGGCTCCATTGGGATCGGCTCACCTGGGGCTGGTGGAGGGGGCGAAGCGGGGCCCACCTGTGGCAGGGGCTGGGCAGGTTATAAAGGGCATGGCTCCCCACTCCTTGCTCCCACCCAGGCTGGGTGTGTACAGGGTGTAAAGTGCTCAGGCCTCCCTGATGGGGAGCCACCCGGGGCCCGGCTCAGTGAGCCCTCGAGGGGGATCCCTGAGGGGCATGGGGCAGCCTCCACCTGGGGGATGCTGCCCTAGGCTGAAGGGGTGGTGGCCTGGCTCAGCCACCGGTGCCCCACGACAACAGATTGGGACACGCGTGTAGTCTCTGCTGGCTCGGGAGAGAACCTGAAACGGCACCGCGGGGGAGACCGCGGGAGCGAGCGACCGCGGGAGAGAGCGAACA